GAGAGAGAGAGAGAGAGAGAGAGAGAGAGAGAGAGAGAGAGAGAGGTTTCTTATTAGCAAAAGAAATACAGCACTAATCTCTAGGGTATATAAAGAACTCAAAAAGCTAAACACCAAAAACCCAAATAACACAATCAATAAAGGGCCAGGGACCTGAACAGACACTTCTCAGAAGAGGACATACAATCAATCAACAAATATATGAAAAAATGTTCATCATCTCTAGCAATTAGAGAAATGCAAATCAAAACTACTCTAAGATACCATCTCACTCCAGTCAGAATGGCAGCCATTATGAAGACAAACAACAATAAGTGTTGGTGAGGATGTGGGGAAAAGTACACTCATACATTGCTAGTGGGTCTGAAAATTGGTGCAGCCCACATGGAAAGCAGGATGGAGATTCCTTGGAATCTAGGAATGGAACCACCATTTGACCCAGCTATCCCTCTCCTTGGACTATACCCAAAGGACTTAAAAACAGCATTCTACAGGGACACAGCCACATCAATGTTTATAGCAGCACAATTAACAATAACTAAACTCTGGAACCAACCTAGATGCCCTTCAGTAGATGAATGGATTAAAAAAATGTGGCATATATACACAATGGAATGTTACTCAGCAATAAAAGAGAATAAAATCATGGCATTTGCAGGTAAATGGATGAATGGAGTTGGAGAAGATAATGCTAAGTGAAGTTAGCCAATCCCAAAAAACAAATGGCGAACGTTTTCTCTGATATAAGGTGACTGACTCACAGTCGGGAAGGGAGCATAGGAGAAACAGACAAACTCTAGATAGGGCCCAAGGAACAGACAAATCACCAGTTGCACGAAACACAATGGGGAGGGGAAGGGAGGGGGCAGGGGGTTGGCAATGAAGGTGGAATGTGATGGACATCATTATCCAAAATACATGTATGAAGACATGAATTAGTGTGAACATACTTTATCTACCGAGATATGAAAAATTACAATAAGAATTGTAATGCATTCCGCTGTCATGTATTTAAAAATAAAATCAATAAAAAATATAAAAAAATAAATAAATGGACAAGTTTATTAGATAAAAGGTTAGGGAAAAAACCTATTATATTTCTAAATACCAACAGCTAACAAACAAAAATGTAATATATAATAATACTAACAGAAATCAAATACCTAGAACAAATATCCAATGATAGATATGCAAGACCTTTACATAAAAATTAGAAAACGCTATTGAGGAAACTTAAATCCCAAATACAAGGAAAGACACAACCCCAGTCAAAATCCCAGGAATGTTGTTGTTCGGTTTTGGTTTCGTTTTTTTGGTAGAAACTGACAAGCTGATCTTGAAATTTATAAGGAAATGTGAAGGGTCAAAAATAGATGAGGAGACTGTGAAGAGAAATGAAGACAGAGGACTTTCGTTATCAGATATCAAGATCTTCCACAAAGTTACGATAATTAAGCTGGGGTGGTACTGGCCCAAGGGACAGACAAGTCACCCGTTGCACAGAACACAAGGTCAAGAAAGAACCCCACACAGACAGGCGTGTTCATTCACGACATGAAGCACAGGAGGGAAATGAGGCTGCTGTGGTCTGGAGGTTTGTGTTCCCTCAAAATTCATGTGTTGAGATCCTGACCCCTCGGAAGATGGCTTCAAGGGGTGAGGTCTTTGAGGTAGGCATGGTGGCGCAGGCTGCAATCCCAGAGACCTGGGAGAATGAGGCAGGAGGATCACATGTTCAAGGCCAGCCTCCGCAACTCCGTGAGGCCCTTAGCAACTCAGTGAGACCCTCAGCAACTCAGTGAGACCCTCAGCAACTCAGTGAGGCCCTTAGCAACTCAGTGAGGCCCTTAGCAACTCAGTGAGACCCTCAGCAACTCGGTGAGACCCTCAGCAACTCGGTGAGACCCTGTCTCAAAATGAAGTAAAAATGGCTGGGGATGTGGCTCAGTGGTAAAGCACCCCTGGGCTCAATCCCTGGTGGTTAAAAAAAAAAAGAATGAAGAAAAGGTGAGGTTTTGGGAAGGTGATCAGACCATGAGGGTGGAGTCTGAGCAAATGGGACTAGTGTCATCACAAATGAAGCCTGGTGGAGCCAGCTGGGCCCTTCCATCATGTAAAGAGAAGGGCCTTCTGTGAGCCAGGAAGTGGGCCCTCACCAGACACTGGGTCTGCTGCTGCCTCGATCCTGGATTCCACAGCCTCTGAAACTCTGCAGAATGAATTTCTGTTGTCTATGGTATTATGTCAACTTATGGTTGTTTTGTTACAGAACCTCAAATGGGCTTAGACAGATGGTCTTTTCAATAGATTATCCCAGGTCAATTAGATGCCCACATGGAAAAAAGGATCTCCGCTTCATAAAACACACACACACACACACACACACACGCGCGTGCGCGCGCACACACATGCACACAAACGAAAAATTCCAGGTAAGCTGTGCATCTAAATGAAAAAGGTAAAAACAAAAAAACCTTTAGAGGAAAACATCTTTGTGAGTGGGAGTGTAAGAAAATATCTCAAGCAGGACACGAAAGGCACTAACAAGTTTTTAAAATGGAAAAATTGGACTATATTAAACTTAAAAATTTCTGGTTATTAAAAGACCCTATTGAAAGGGTAAAAACATACCCATAAAATGAGAGAAGATAAGATATCTGATGAAGGACTTGTATCTATAATATATAAAAAGTTCTATGAATCAAAGAGAAAAACACAAACAACCTAGGAGAAGAATGGGGAAAAGATTTGAACAAGTCCTTCCCAAAAGAAGATAATCAAATGCACTTTGAAAGAAGGAAGAAGGTGTCCTACCTCATTATCATTAGGGCCATGCAAATGACAAACACCAGGTACTAACTATTATTGTACACCTGACAGAATGGTTAAAATAAACAAGATACAAAATACTCAGGGCTGCTGAGGATGTGGTGTAGCAATGAACTTCCATAATCCTGCTATCAGGGGTGTACATCTGTACAACCACTTTGGAAAACCATTCAGTAGCACCTGTCAAATTTGAACATGTGCGTACATCGTGACACAGTAAGTGCACTCCTAGCTCAGCACCCCCACGGAACCGCACGCCAACTAGAAGGTTCATAGCAGCACTTTTAGCTGCGCCACAGCCAAAACACTAGAAAATATCCAAAGGTCCTTCAAACATAGAATGGCTAATTACACATTCATGTGATGGAATGTTCTACAGAGATGGGAATGATACAGGTCTCATATAAGACAGATGAATCTGGTGAACATAAGCACTGAGCAAAAGGACCTTTTGTCCTCTAATGGATACAAAATGTATGATTCTCTGTCCATCTATCAATCATCCATCTATGTATCCATCCATCCATCCATCCACCCATCCGTGGTGCTGGGGATCAAATCCAGGGCCTCACCCACGCTAGTCAAGTGCTCTACCACTGGGCTACATCCCCAGACCAATGACTTATGTATATTATAAAAAAGGCAAAAGCTAGTGAGGACAGTGGCTGTCCTTGGGTGAGAGTGGCAACCTTTGTCTGATGGTCATGCTGTCTTGCTCTTGACGCTGGTCATATGGGTGTGTTCTGTTTGTACAGATTTATTGAACTGTACCTTTAGGATATATTTGATTCTTTGCATGTATGGAATACATCAGTAAAAATGTTCCTAAAAGACTCAGTGGTAATGGCTTATTATTATTTTTTGGTACCAGGGATTGAACCCAGGGGCACTTCACCACTGAGCCACATCCCCAGTCCTTTTTATTTTTGAGACAGGGCTTGCTAAATTGCTGAGGCTGGCCTTGAGATTATAATCCTCTAGCCTCAGCCTCCAGAGTTGCTGGCATTAAAGGGCATGGGTCACCATATCTGGCCCCAGTAGTCATGAATTATAACCCAGAGAATATTCATGAGTCCATGCTGGTATAAATACGCTAAGTTGCTGAGGCTGGCCTTGACAGTACATTAGAGGAAAAACAGATTGGAAAACGGACCTGAAGAAATTATCCAGATTGTAGTATAAACAACAAAGAAATGAAATATGGGAATTTTTTTGGTACTGGGGATTGAGCCCAGGGGCACTTTAACACTGAGCTACGACCCTAGTCCTCTTTATGCTTTATTTTGAGATAGGGTCTCCCTAAATTGCTGAGGCTAGCCTTGAACTTGTGATCCTCCTGCCTCGGCCTCCTGAGTTGCTGGGATCACAGGGTGTGCACCCCCACACCAGGTGAAATACATGAATTAAGAGACACAGAAAGAATGACAAGGTGTGACATACATTTAACTGGAGTCCCAGCAGGAGAGAATGAAAGTGGGGATAAAAAAGATGATGGCTGAGGCTGGGGGTGCAGCTCAGTGGTAGAGTGCTTGCCTGGCATGTGCGAGGCCCTGGGTTCGATCCCCAGCAGCACAGGGAAAAAAAAAAAAAAGAGAGAAAAGGAAAAGAAAAAAGAAAAAAAAAAGAGAGATGTTGTCAGACTGGATAAAACAAGAAAATCTAGGCATATGCTGTTTACAAGAGACTTATCTAAAACATAATGATATAGTGAGTTTTAAAGCCAAGAGATGGAAATTGATAATATAAACATGGAACAGAATGAAGGCCCTGGGATCACTCCCAATGGCTACAGTGGCCCCACGTGTGGTCAGGCCTGAGCCTACCCGAGGCGGCCGTGCCCCACCCGGGGGGTCCTCTGGTGCCCCTCACCTGGCTGGTGATGTCTGAAGGCATGGGCGAGGGGGGCTTGGAGTAGGTGGCGTCCTGGGAGATGAAGCCAGAGTCGTGGGAGGAGACGCTGGAGAGGCGGGTGGTGGCGGTGGCTGGCTGCGCCAGGCTGCGGTAGCGACAGGTGGAACTGGGTGAGTATGTTTGGGCACCCCCAGGCCACGGGGCTCCGCCACCCTTGGCACCGCTACTGCTGCTGGGGGCACTGAGGGAGTGAAGGAGGATGGCACAGCAGCCAGACAGGGAGGCGGGGGAGTGTGAGGGGGTGACAGATGAGGGGGAGAGAGAGACGAAGGCAAAGGAAGGAAAAGATAAGGTCAGACTCTGAGGTCCCGAGACCCGGGTACCATGGAGGAGCTGGGTTCCGGGGTGACGAGGCAGGCAGGGCAGGGCTGGAGCAGGGGGGACCGGGCCCTTGCCCCTGGAGCTCCTCAGTGTTGGGAGTCACGGTCAGGGCATGCCAAGGGTGAGGCGAGCAATATGCCTCCCCCTCTGCCATTAGAACGGTTGTCCTCAGGTTAATGATGGGGAAACTGAGTCACAAAGCATCGAACAATCAGAGACAGACCAGGCTGCCTGTTGCTAAGCTGCCTTCTCAAGGCCTGATGTTGCCGTCCAGTCACACAGGGCCATCTTGCACGAGGTGGCGTGTCTGGACAGCACATGAGGCTGCCCTCCAGGGAGGGTCTTAAGCCTCCCGTCATCTCATCACCTCTCTGCCGGAGGGTGTGCAGCTGGCCATGGCTCATGCCCTCTGCACAGCCACTGAACCCCCAGCGGTGCTCCTGGCAAGGAAGGCCGCCCTGCTCCTGAGCAGGACCTTGAAGCACCCTCACCTGGCTCCTGGTCTCCCCTGCCGTCTGTACCCCTTTTTGGACAGGTGCCCACCCAGAGTCTAAAGAGGCTCCAGCAGCCGGAAGGAGCAGCTGATCACTGGGCCTGGCTTCTCTCAAGCCCCGGGTGCCCGGACAGAGGGGTCTCCCCCAATAATCAGCTCCTTGCTCAGTGCCCTCCCCACCCCACTTCAATCATAAATGTCTCCTCTAGATCTGGCCCCAGTGCTAGCCCAGGGAAGGGCCCTGATGCTGAGCCGATCTGGTGTTGAGTGAGATTCTTGGCCCCTCCCTGGCTCTGAGACCCTGGGGCCTAACCTGGGTCAGAGCTTGATCCATTGGCAGCTGCCTGGGCACCAGCTTTAGGACCATTCAGCATGTGTCCTCAGAAAGCCCTGCCCCCTTCCCTGATCACAGATTCTTACTTCCGTCCCACACTGTCCCAGGCCTGGCAGAGTCCCGTGAGTGGTTAAATGCTAAGACCCCGTGCCTCAGTTTCCCCTTCTATGAAACGGCGACAAGACCAGGCCCGACACAGTGGTGTTAGGATTCAATGAAGAGAGTGCTTGGCACCTGGCACAGTCAACGCCCTGTAAACGAAGCTACTGCCCCTCCCTGCCAGCAAACGCCTGGGGCAGCAGCCCTGGGACAACTGGGCATGTTCTTCCTCGACACCTGAAAATCCCTTGGGTGACGCAGAGGTCATATGAATTCTGAGGCTCTGAAGCATCTCCCTGGCCACCCCACCACCCCACAATTCTGGGGACATGCTCTATCACCAAGCCACCTCTCCAGCCTCTGAAGCAGTTCTTGATGGAGCTTGGGGGGAGTTTCCACATTCCTTCCTGGGGTACATCCAGGAGTCCCGCCCCACCAACCTGCACATGCTGGATTTCCGGGAGCTGGAGCTGCTGGGTGATGATGGCGGGGTCTGGTAAGACCAGCTGTAGTCTGAGCCCTTCAGGTCCTTGATCACCTGGGCAGGGACATACATGGGGGTCACTGGAGGCAGACCCTAACCTACAGAGAGGCTCGTCATGCTCCTCAAAGAACTGGCGGGGCCAGAAGCCTTCCACTCTCTTCCCAGCTATGGACCATGCTTCAGGAGAAGACCCCAGGAAGTGAACCCTCCCATCCCCTAGCCTTCTCCTAATGCACAATTCTTACTGGGGTGGGAAGCAGAGAGGTATGGGAACATTCAGCTCTCTCTGCACCCCTTCCGCTTACACAGCACAGATTTGGGACTCTGAGCCTGGCCAGGTCTGGGTGGGGACATGGGAGAAGCAGGTGCTCCCAAGAACTGGCAGAGGAACCGGGCTAGATTGCCCAGGATAAGAGGGGTGCAAATCATGGTTGGACCCGAGTCTCAGCTTTCTCCATGAATTGGGGCCACTGTTCCTGTCTTAGAGCACCATCAAGAGCGCTAAGGAAACAACCTGTAGAGGGTGTTTAGCAGAGTGTTGGGCACACAGGATGTGCCTGGGGAAGGCAGTGGGAGAAGTGGAGGGATAGGGTGGACACATATGCCTGGGTCTAGGGGAGGTGACTGGCGTTCTCTGTGTGGATGGCAGCCAAGCATCAGCAGGTTGGAAAGGGCCAAGCTCCAGGGATCTGAGATTTTTCCCCACCTGCTCTCAGTCTGAGACCCTCCCACTTGGGACCTAAGCATATCACCTGGGCAGGTGCTACTGGATGCCCCCTGGTGGCTGCTGGAAGTTCTCTGGTCTTTTCCCAGATGCCTTCCCCAAATGCTGTCTCCTTGTCTCAACTGTCTCCAATGGAGGGCAGGGCCGTTTCCTCCCTGTCCCTGTCCCTGGGCCCCAGGGCTCACCGCACCTGCTCACTGGCGGGAGGCAGCTTGTGGGGTTCTGCAGTCAACACCACCAGGTCGTCAATGATGCCTTGCAGGTGGGTGATCTCCCCCAGCATGGTCAGCTCGCCGTTCTGAGGATGCAGTGATAAGACCTGATGGTCCCACCGCCCTCCAGCCCACCCTGGAGAAACAGGCCTTTTTGGCCTCTCCTGTCTCACCCTTCCCTGCTAACCAGTCCGTTTGGGACTGGTGGAGGCTGGGCCAGCACAGTCTGGGTGGCTGACATGACCATCTGTCCAGACCAAATCAGGACACGAAGAGCCACGAGACCTGCTTCTGGTCCAGGAGCATGTGGCTCTAAATGCATTCTGCCAGGGATCACTTAGAAGTGATCTAGGAGGTCAACAAGTCCACCCTGGGTCTCACCCACCCACCCCACGCACCCCACCGGCCTCTGAGCCACCATGAGACCCACCACCACGGGCTGCAGGAAAGTGATGAAGGTGCAGAAGCGGCCTCGCTCCTCGATCAGGGCCCGGCGCACCGCCTGCTTCTCCGTCTCCTCCAGCAGGAGGTACATGTCATTGACGTCCTGCAGGGCACTATCCAGCTGGGGCTGCAGGTCTCCTTTCCCTGGAGGGGTTGGGAGGAGAGGCCGCGCTGGGGACGCTGGCCTGGTTTGCTGCACCCATGGCTTAGGCCCCTGGGGTGGCATCCCTGGCCGTGGAGCTGGGCACTACAAGGGGAGTGGGGAGGGCAGACTGTGGGGTTTGTGGAAGGGATGGTCCCCCCAGAGCAGGCAGAGAGGACAGGCAGATACACACGCACAGGAAAGACACCAAAGCTGCAAAGCCACCCAGGACCCAGGTAGGCAGGGCTGACTATATGGAGGCCAGCGGGGGCCTTCACTGCATGGGATCCCCTCACTGCCTGGGGCTGGCACCCCATCACCACACAGGATACAGGCAGGTGGTGTGGGGCAGGACAAAGTAGACCTGGGTAGGGGGCTCAGCTGTAGGCCAAGCCACCCAAGGTGCCAGGATCAGGAGACCTAGGGGCTGGGCTTGGGGAGCAGGGAGAGGGGTGTCCCAGGGTGGGCCCTCACTCAGATCAGAAAACAAGACACAAGGACAGCGACGGTGACACAAAAAGCAGCAAGAGAGACAGAGAGAGGCGAGAGGATGATATGGAGGAGACATTGAGACAGGAAGCAGGGAGGCAACAGGTAAGAACAGGACTGGCCTGGTGGGGGCGGGGCAGCCAGGGCCTATGCCCCCCACCCGGCCCCACCAGCCAACCCCTCCTGGCCTGGCAGACTGACCCAGCAGTGGCCCCGGACTCATCCCTGGCCAGGGGCCCCAGGGCCCCAGGGGGACTGTGCCCCAGGCCCCTCCCTCGGTGGACCGACCGCCTTCCTCGTTCCTTCTTGGCCTGAAGAGGTTCCTTCCAATGGCCCTGAGCTGGGGGAGACAGACAAATGCGACAAGGACGGGAGGAGCAGCTGGAGGGACCGACATTTGACTTACCAAGTAGCTCTACAGGAAGGATGTGGGAGGAGGAAGAGGAGAGACAGAGAAAGAAAGAATGTGTGAAAGACAGCCGGATGGACAGAGCCACTCCTGGGGTGGGGTGGGGGCCTGGGCCTGAGGGGCCTCTTACTGCCTCCCAAGAGGGAGGGCCTGGGCCTGTCTGGTGCACAGGGCAGCTCCCTCTGTCCCACCCGACAGGTTGCAGGGTCCTGTGTCAGGGATAGGACCCCTCTGGCCAGGATGACGCCCTGGGTGCCCCTTAGGGCAGTGGGGCTATGGAGTGGGACCTAGGGGCTGGGCCTCGGCAGCTGACTCTAGGCCCTACCTTTCCGCGCTTTCTTCTGCAGCTTCAGCGTGTCTGATGACTTCTTCTTAATCTCGTGCCGGGCTCGTTTGTACTCTGCGGAGGCAGGGTGAGACGGGAGGCTATAATAGGGATCCCTGCGGAGAGGGTGTGGGCGCCCCCACAAAGCCCCACCCCACCTTTCGCGTGGTCCTTGTCCAGTTGGTTGGCCGACTTCTTCCAGTCCTCGATGCGCTCCTGCAGCGGGTTGATGAGGCTCTCCAGCAGCGCACTGTGGGTGGGAGCTGGGGGTCAGGATCACAGGGAGCAGGGTCTCCCGCGGACCAAACGCCTTAGCCCGCCCGCCGCGCCCACTCACTTGGTGAACTGTCGCAGCTTGGTCTCTATGCTGCGGTGGCGCATGCACATGCGTGTGAGCGCCGAGCCGATGTCCCGTGTGGCCCCTGGCGAGACAAGCGCGGCGTGGGAAGGGGCCTGCTTGGGTCTTTGCAATGCCGGCCTGGGGCCACAAGGGGGCGCGCCGGCCTGCGAAGGCCAGGCCCGCTGCCTGTGCCCCGCCCTCGCGCTCTGATCCGTGGAGCTGGGGTAGGGAGCGGGTGCTGGGCCTTGACCCAGCTCCTCCTCAGCCCAGGACCCGGGTCCCCCCTGCCGGCCATCCCAGCCTCCGGCAGCTGCAGGTACTCTCCTGGCCAGGCCAGGGGCCTCCCCTCTCATCGAGCTGAGGGAGGCCAGTGCCAGACAGCCCAAGGGGGAGTCAGTGAAATTCTCCAGCCCCCGGGGAGCCCGTCCAGGTGTGGAGTGAAGCGACAGCGGAGGGCACACGCCCGGCCTGTGTTCTCAGTGCTTGCTCTAGACCAGGACCCCAGGGAGTGCTCATGTGCCCGTAAACACACCGAAGGGCGCTGGGAGTAGGCGAGAAGCCAGAGACGCTCTGTGCAGAAGGGCAAATGACGGGCAGAGGGGTCAACTGAGCTGCCCACAGCAAGAAGGGACCCCCTGGAACATCCCTGCCGCCACTCACCCACTCCTGCTTGTGCCTCTTGTGGCAAGGGGCTCAGTCTCTCCACAACCAGCCCATTCCATGAGGGAGCAAAACCTCAGCGCCGGGCCTTGTGTCATTTCCTTCGGGCTTTCCCACCCCAAGCCCACCCTGGGGCATCCCTGACCTCCAGCCACGATCCTTCCCACCTCGAGTGTTGGTGGCCATGTCGGCCACTTTCTGGAAGGCGTCCAGGAAGGCCACAGCAGCCAGCACGGTGGTCCTGGGGAGACGGACAGTGAGGTGGAAGGTCAGCGGGGGCCTTCTCTCCATCCCTCCCTACTAGAGCACCCCAGGCAGCCTCACCTCAGCTGGGAATGCAGCTTCGTGGCCTTGGAGTTGAAGTCCTCCCAGATGGGGTAGGAGCTCTGTGAGAGAGGAGGGAGAGGACTGAAGGGCTCAGCCTGGTCTGGATCCCCCATCTGCTACCCAGACTTGTCCCTTTCTTGAGAGGGCTTTGTCCCTGAGGAGAGCAGGCTCCCGCCCTCTGGGAGGAGACAGGGCTGAGGTCAGGGCAGCAGGCATGAGAAGGGCTTGCCCCTGGGAACCAGTGCCTTGGCTCTTCCTTCCCACCCTGGCGGGAGTCTGTTCCCCCTGTGTAGAGTTGGCAACTCTGCGGTTCCCACTCTCCTTCCAGGGAGGTGGAGGCAGTAGATGGCAGGTCCTGTCTCCTCTGGGCTCCTCGGGGGCCTGGCAGGGATCTAAGCTGAGCCCAAATAGGGATCCATGTTCCCTGGGCCTGGGATGGTGGGCCCTGACTTGCCACCTGGCTTAGGGCTGGGGCAGCGTGGGGTGGGGAGGCTGGCAGGGTCAAGGCATTCCAGGTATAGCGAGGCCCTGGGAGCTGCTGCTGGCAGGACACACTAGGCCAGCAGTAGTGGCTCCTGGGCTTCTGAGGAGGCTGTGGCTGCTGCAGGGCCTGGACAGTCTGCCCGGGACAACCAGGCCCCAGGCTGAATGGGGCCTTGTGCGGCCAACAGAGCCACCTTTTTCCACCCCCCGCTCCCCTCCCCTCCAGGGGAAACAGTGTGGCCTTTATCCCTGCCTGGCCCATGGCTCCATGTTGGGAGGGGGTTTCCCAGTAGGGAGGTCGAGCTCCTGGCGACCGACTTGTCCAGTCTGATTAAGGGGCTTTTCTGGCTAATGTGCTCTCCCCATGGCTGCAGGCCTTGAGAAAGCTCAGCCTTGGCTTCAGGGCCCTGTGGAGGCCTTGCTTTTTGAAGGACAGCCCTGGGTGAGCAAAGCCCCAGCTCCAAAGGTCTTTCTCCTCCATGATAATAAGCACTGGGGGTTCAGGCTTTGCCCTAGGAAAGGAGGGGAAACAGAGACCCCAGTTCCCCAAGGCCCTCAGAGAAGGCTCTCCTTGGCTGAAGTCCCAGGACAGGTTCTAGCTGGCCTGCCCAGGCCAGAAGTACCCACAGGGGTAGACAGGAGCTGAGCGGCATCAGGGAACCTCAGAAACCCCCTCCTTCCTAGCCCAGCCAAACCAGTGTCCAGGGAAAGCAAATATTTACGAAGTACACTGCGGCTGGGACAAGAGACGGGGGACCTGGGTTGGCTGTCCCCATACAGCTCAGGGAAAAGGAGCCTGGGAGGTTGTCCCTAGCAGTCCTGAGGAGCTGACCCATGCCTTGGGGTCTTTTGAAAGGCATACCTTCCTACCACCTTCACCCCACCCAGCCTGGGTATCCTTGAAGACCTCCCTGCTGGGGTGCAGGTAGTCCACAGCCAGCTGTTCTGCCCCCTCCTCCCTGAACACCTTCTCAGCTCTCTCAGCAGTCCGTGGGTAGTCTCAGGGAGAGGGTTGTCCCAGGCGAGGGGGACGGGACAGGGCATGGGGGAGGCAGGCCTAGTTTCTCCTCAGCAGATGGACCCAGGTGCTTCAGTCCTCAAGGGCTTAGCCTTCTCTCCCCTCCCCCATTCATGGTTCCCGAATGAGCCCAGAGACTAGGAGGAAGGGCCGGAGTGGCCAGTGCCCCAGGCTTTACCTGGCCTAGGCCCTGCCTGTCAGGTTCTGAGACCCTGGTTTACCTTCCCTGGTCACTGCAACTGCACTGTGTTCTATGCAGGGCCTGGCTGGCACTTGCACAGTGTGCGTCGGTCTTCACAGCAGCCCCGCGAGAAGAATCCTACTATTTCCCCTTTGAGTGATGAGGAAACAAGGTGAAGTGATTCTTCCAAAGCCACAGGGTGTGGCATCAGAGTCTGATCCCATGTCTGACAGGTGAATGACTGCATGTCAGGGTAGAGGGATCCTGCTTCAGGGGGGCAGGGACTGAAAGGATGGGGGAAAACCCCAGCTCTGTCCCAGTCATCTGGGCTGCTCCAGAGTGAGGAGGTGAGGTGCCCAAGGGGACAGGATGAGACTGACGGCTGTGGCTGCATGAGAGGAAGCAACCTAGGCTTCAGCCCCAGAGGTTTTTCTGGGTGACCTTGGGGCAATCTGAGTCTGTTTGCCCACCAGTAAAATCAGGAGAGGGACTTGCACCTCCCTGGGGTCAGTGTGTAGACTCCAGGGGGTACTCACTGAAGGGACTGCTTCAAAGGGTCTGGGCAGCTAGCAAGGGCTCATCACTGTTGGCCAGGAGCACAGAAGTCGTGTCTCTGCTAGGAGAGCCCTCCCACCCGCCCAGGGTCTGTGTGTCCGGATGACACTCTACTCTGGATGGGGAGGCAATGATTATGACCCGATTATCTGAACAGACCAATGTGAGGTGGTGGCCCCATTTGCTCTCTGAGGGTGCTGTGCCCAGGCCTAACACCCCAAACAAGTTCTTGCCCCTCTCTGGATTCAGTGGGCTTGTGGCCTGAGCTGTGTGAGACAGGGAAGGCAGGGCAAGCTCTTGAGGACTCTTCCCCCCCTGAGCTCAGACCTTCCTCTAGCTCTCTAGGCGCCCTGCTATTGCCTTCAGCCACGGGTCCAGCCTCCTAGTGGTTTGAGGGAGATCTGCTGTGGGCTCACTGGGGGGCAGCTCCAAGGGGCAAGTTTTCTCCCAGACCCAGCAAGTCAGTAGGCTTGGAGTCAGTCAGAAGCTGCCCCCCAAATCTAGTTATCAGCCTCCAGATGGCCCAGCCCCCTTCTCTGTCCCTGGCCAGGGTCCTTGAACACATTCATGTGTCATGGCTAGGGGCAAATCTTTTCATGGTGTCACCACAGTTGGTGAAACCTCTCCCTTTTGACTCCACATGTCTGCTAATCCTGCCACCAGCCAGTCTGAACCTCTTGCTGCGATCTGGGCCCATTACCTTTGGTGTCATCTCCAACTTCCTTGCAATTGGCCAAGAGGGAGGGACACAGTCCTGCTCCTCTCCTCTGGGCTAAAGCTGCTGCTTGCTGCAGTGTTTGCTGTGTGGCTGCCAGTGGGAGGAGGTGCAGGCAGCTCCCACCCTCAACCAGCCCCAGGAGCGGCCAGGGGAAGTGGTCTAGGCTGCCCAGTCCCAGGAAAGGGCCTTCGTGCCAGGGCTCTGATGTCTGCAGGGTGGGTGGAGGCTGCTCAGGGCCAGCAGAGGGGCCCACAGGTGGAGCTGCCAGGGATGGAGGTCCCAGGGGGGAAAGCACTATGGTGGCCGGGGGTGGGGGAGGCAGGGGGAGACATGGATATGCTGCTAATTGTGCAGTCCCAGGCCAGAGTGGCTTCAGTCCCCATCCTAGGGGAAGGGATCTGGCAGCTGCCTCTGGGGCTGTTTCCCTGGCAGCACAGGAAAGGAGTCCCAACCTTTTGCCTGCCTATCACTCTCTACTTCCCAAAGCGCCTGCCTGGAACTCTTGGGTAGGCTGCATGTGGTTTGTGGTGTCCCCACCATTCCCCAGGCTGGGGCCTGGTAGGACTTTGTGTTGTGTACTAGGCCAGTGTGTGTGGGGCTGTGAAGGGGCCCTCGGGAGCGCCTGTGGGGAGCCAGGTTCTTCCTCCTGCCTGCAATCCTGCCTCTTCATCCTAGACCATGGGGCCAGAGGAGAAGGGCAGGAAGGCTGTTTCTTGGCCCACCCTGTCACTGGAGCTGGGCCCTCTGCCTACTCAGTCTGGGGCAGTCCTATTATACTTTGGCCTCTTTCCGGGAGAGGATCCCTCCTACCAGCTCCCAGATAAACAATGAAGGCTGAGATCAGGGGCAGGGTTAATGACCTTGAGCCATTGCCAGGCCTCAGTTTCCCCACTTGGTGGGCTAGGCAAGAATTAGTGGCCTGCTCCAGCCTGACCTTGGGTAATCATGGAGAGTGGGGGGTTGGCGCTGAGTGGTAGTGGGGTAGGAAAAGCTTCCTTGGGGTTGCTCCACCAACC